CTGTTAAAATCAAACAGAACATGTAAATTATTTTAGTTTGAAAATTGTTTTATTCAAAGAACGCTTTATTTCCACAATGTCTTAGTTAACTTGAGTTAGTAAAGGTGTACTACTGTCAAAACCAACTTTACTGGCAAAGCTTTAATCAACTCTCGTTCAGCTGAAGCAACCTATGCTGAAGCTATTTTACATTTCTGTGTTTTTAGTTAACTCCCATTTTATGTTGTAAAAACTATAGGTCAGGTTGTTGCTGCGCCCCCTGGTGGCTTGATAATATAACAGATCGGGTAAACTCAGTTTGCATGAAAACATAGACAATTTGACATTTCTTCACATTTATTAATCTCTGTTTTTAGAGGTTTGCATTGTTTACCACAAACAGCTCAACAACAAAGGCATTAAAGCTTCAACAGCACCACTTGACTTAAGCGGTGCCTCTACCTAATGATGTTGTATTATGACAAAAGGTTTGACCATCTGACCTCCTGTCTATACATCTGTCAGTTTATTACTTTGTGATTTGACTGGCAGGTGGCCAACCTACGCTTTCAAAACCTTAGTGAGGGGAGCAGGAGGATTTGATCTGCTTAAGAAATAATTCCTCTCACAAACCAAACAAATATTATTTGATTGTTTTGTTTCAGACTAAAATATTTGTTATTCGAATAATATTTATTTTCTGTTTGACTCAAGGACATTGGACTTAAATTTAGGTGATGAGTGATGACTTATCATAAATTTATCATTGATTTTTTTTTTTGTTATTTTTACATGAAAATGCAAACTTTATACAAAATAGTTGGTCTTTTGTTCATATCAGATTCAGTTTTTGTAAAGTAGAGAAATCTTTGCATGCATTAAAACATTAGCAACTTCCTTTGAGGCTAAACTTGTACTTAGATGTGTTAAAAAAATCTCAGATTTTAAGAAATTGTTTAGACTTTTCATAAATGTTTATGGGTTTATGTTTCATCTCTTCATGTAGATTCTTGTGATATGAGATTTTCATTCCCTTGTAAGCAACACAAACGGTAAAGTGCAGTCTCTGTATTTTACATCCAATTGGAAACATACAGTTGATATAAAAAATAAAAATAATAACTGAAGAAATCCAAAGCAATCTGTAGACTTTGATGGTTTAAAAACTTTGTTTAACATCGTGCGTTTTTAAAAATCTAAATCAGTAAACCAAACGCAACAATACAATAGAACCAGAAATTCTGAATATAGGACAGCTGGGACACCTTTATCCTTAGTAGTTTTTTTTTTCCAATCAGCCACATATGCATGTCTCAACTCCCCAAAGACAGAGAGCATTTGAGGTGACCTGCTGATTAATTTCAACGTCCCTTCTGCGTCCTTTTGCCTCCTCCTGCTCCTTCCATCCTCCAAACATCTCTGCTAGGTTCCAACCATCCCTCCCTTATCTGTGCAGGACAACAGCTCCACCGGTCCACCATATGGGTCAGTGTCTGGATGGTTGGCTGCCCCCTCCCTACAGCCTGCGTGTGTGTATTTAATGTGTGTCATTGTGTGTGTGTGTGTGAGTGTGTGAGTCAAGCCTGCGCTGACTGTTTAGCCGGTCCCACCTGTTCTTCAGTACCAACAGACCAGACCTCTTATCTGCAGGCCCTTCACCACAGGCTGGTGGACAGACAGATAACAGGCTAAAAGAAAACAGACTGAGCTGCACGTGACTGTAAGGTTGTGCTAAACTTCAGAATCAATCGCTCAAAATCTATCCAAAGTGGTGTTAGACAATTGCAAAGTTTGATTTTAGCAAATAAATTTCAGATCATGTCATTTTTAAAAAAATTTTTTTAGTCATTGCATTTGGAAAGGGACCGGCAAATGTGGCCTGAGTTCATCAGTGAGGCAAAAGACAAACAGATGGTTAAACTGAGAAACAAACAGCTGAGCAAACAATAATTGATTAAAATATGGCATAATTTATTCCTGAAATATGAAAAACAGGGTGTGCTGCGAACAGACTGCAGCAGACAGACAGGCCGTGTTGCCTCTCAAACACCCGAGGACACGAGATCATAATGAAGGAGAACTTGGAGGGGGGGATAATGAGAGGTCAAACAGAAGAATAAGTCTCGGGCTTGTACACCTGTGGCCCACCTTCTGCCATCTAAACTGCTCCTCCACCGCGTTTTTAAACCCCACGCTCTTCAGTTACTCATTATAACCTACTGAATAATGTAAAGGTATATATGCATGGGAGATGCAAGCGGACGACAGGAGACAGGAATGAGGGTTAGGGAGGATCTACATAATAGGGCTATCTCTCACTCCATCTGCTCATGTCTTTATAAACGTCCCCTCCTCCTTCTTTATGCTGATTTATCTGCCTGACATAACCCCGTCAACAACCCCCCCCTCCAACGATCGAGCCCTCTCTAATAATATCATGCTCACGCAAGGAAAACCGGGCATGTGCGTCGATGCTATTGGGTCTGTTTTTATCTGTGCATTTCAGTGGCCGTTTGTACGATCTGACATGAGCAGTTTGCCGCCTCAGGAGAATTAACCAGGCGTCTGCCACCTGACCCTGTTGACTCCGACCATCCTGCGCTCAGCTGATACGCGTGCCTTGTGGCCCTGACATGAGGAGGACAAAAAAAAAGTGAGGAGTGGGAGGACTACGGGGACCGAAAGAACAGCAGGCAATGAATGATTATGATGACTAGGGCCATCTTGCTGGCCTCCGTATGACAACCCCAACTTCCCTCCCCCCCTCATACCCCCGACCTCATCCTCCACCCTGGCCCTGGCTCTGGCTCTGGCTCCCACAGGAACGAGTGATCTGGCTCAGGTCGGCGTGTGTCGGTGTGGGTGAAGTGTCACCACCAGGCAGGTCCTGCTCCGTCAGCTGTTGGGGATGACCGGAG